TTAACATCTGAATATTTTGTATCAACACGGCAACCACATAGTCATTACATCTTTTAAGGAAAGATACACGAGTTGTTATTTCCTTCGGGGAACCCAATAACTAACCATAATATATTAATGTGGTTGTAGTAGAAAGCATTCTACAAGAATGCTTTTGCCTTAGAATGATACTTAATAAAATTATCCAAGATGTTTTACGTACAACAGGTACGTGCGGCAATGATCTTTATGCCACAAAAATAATATTTATATCCTCTGTTATTCTAGTTCTGTCGAAGGTGAGTTGTGGTATTTCTCCATTCACTCAAGGGAATTAAAATGTGCTTCAAAAATAACTTTGAATAGTCCATTATTTTATTTACGCACAGAAAGATACAATTTCATAATATTTTCCTGCTTAGGGAGAAAATTACAATTGTGTTACTTCTTCAGGAACAAATTAAAATACGATAAATTGAGTATATATTCTCTCAATCATATTACCTCTTCTGGAGATGAATCGTAATATATTTACATAAATAGCGCGCTCATATTTACGGCTTTATTAATATTGTCACATTCACTTCAGGGAATGGATTAATATTTATAAAAATTCTCATCCTTCAGAAAATCGAACATAATTATCTGAACACGCATTAATCATATCAAATTGTGATGTTTCAACCTCTTTTAAAATATTTACTACTTCAGGAGCAAATTGAGACGTACATGTGATATAGAGAATATTTCTCTAGCTTATCTTCATTGTAACCATAACAAGCCTAAATTATCACTTCTGGTGGTTATAAGAACATACCACTTCTGGTGGTTAACAAAATTTAGTTACAATGAGATATACGAAACACAATCACTTCTGGTGGTTAACAAAATTTAGTTACAATGAGATATACGAAACACAATCACTTCTGGTGGTTGTATATATATATATTTTTTTGCAGACTCTACCGGAGTTTAAGTGGACCTTTTATTGTTATCCACATGACAATTCAAATACGCTTCATTAGACAAGTAATGATATAATATTAAAGGGCATGACTGCTAAAGCGTAAATGAAACCTGAAAAATTAATTAGAGAAATAAATAGTGATGGTTATATATATGTTGGTGCTATAGTCCTTATACGGGTACCATCCTTCTTAATCATTAGCCATATGTATTGATTGCAGCTCTATCTCAAGATGCAATATTGCTCATATGGATAAAACAAAATTGTTAGAGCATCATAACGTTTGTAGTTAATAATAGTTGTCCATACAGAAAATACTTAACAAGCGAAAGCAAGATTAGAAATGAACCTTGTTCAAAGTTATGAGATTTCTAGGTACATCTACCTAAGGCAGTTTGGCTTCCATCGTCTTTTGCTCCAAATTATCTCAAGTTAGAGATAACTATACATTCAAACATAGAGACCCGTGCTGATGACGTGTTATAAAATAAAGACTATAAAAGAAATAAACTGAAGACAAGTATAGAGAGAGATTGATATTTTATTCAACTTTCAAACTGATATATATATAATGAACTGAAAACTGCTCTATTATTTATAAAAGAAAGGAAGCAGTTGCGAGACTTTTCAGGAAGCAGATGCGAGGCTTTTCTTCAGCTGCTTGTAAGCTGTCTGCATGAGCTGCTCGCAACCTGCCTGTTTAATAAGAAGCTGCTGCAAATCATTTCATTGAGTTGCTTGTAACCTGCCTGTATCCGCTGCTTGTAGATAAACTTCAACAACAAATTCTAAATGAATAATCTTTTTCAGGAAAATTATCTATAGCGTAGTAATAAATGGACATCTACAAATAATAGTTTTATAACAGAATTTACTGGCTCTTATTTTCATTTTTTATGTGAAAGTATTTTGTTTTACTCAATTTTCCATCTGTTTTAATAACTTGCAATTGTCATTGATAATCTCGTCAAGAAAAAGATCAGTGATAATTTGTGATTTTCTTAATCCCAGCGTTTGTGACAATTCTACACTTTTGATAATCCCGAGTTTATAATCATGATATTTATATCTTATATTCTATCTGCGGTGGATCCGTGGATTGTTTCCTTCCGCATTGGGTTTTGCTTCATGTAGAAGTTATAAAGCAATTAAAATAAAAGCCTAATTTGTATCATATAACTTATCTAAATATCACAATCCTTCAGTAAATGAGTCTGGGTGGTGTAGTTGGTTATCACGCTAGTCTCACACACTAGAGGTCCCCGGTTCGAACCCGGGCTCAGACATTTTCTTCTTTTACACAACTGGTGTTGATCTCCTGTTTGTACATTGAAGAGCAATTTCTTATGCTAGTATATATAATTATATATTATACCCTATTTATTATAAACTAAAGTCATTTTAAAGTATTATTTTCTATAGCTACCTTTTATATTTTATAGCAAAATAAGTATTTATGGTATATACTACAACTGATACATGAAATACGCTATTTATATTTTTCCTCTCTTTTTCTTTCAATTAACATATGATTTTCTCTCATAATTTTTCTTCTTTCTCTCTCTCTCTTTCTTCTCTCTCTTCGAATCATAGATACACGAACGAGAAACAAATCATGAAAGAAAGTCTAAAAATCTCAAAATCAGAAAAATGAAAGTAAACCTATAATTAATAAAAGGAAGCGGAGATACATTGGACGATAGAGAGATTGAAGAGAAAGAGGGATTCTTAGCGCGGTAAGTAAGAGGGAAAAGAGGAAGAAATGGTTGAATTGGAAGCGTTGTAAATTGTAATGGAAGAGGTAGTGAAGAGATACAAGGAGTCTTGACCGGAAAACGCCATCTCCGACGAACTTTTTTCTCGTCTTTGCTATTTTGTCACATACAATGATATAAATACACTGTATTATGTATAAATTCACTCAAACACATTGTATTTTTGTATAAATATTTTTTTTTGCCTGTGTTTATGTATTTCGAAGGTCTGTATTTTTTTAATACAACAGAATACACCTATATTCATGCATACTGTACATACAGTACGCATGAATACATGATATAAATATTGAAATACACTGAATATAAACAGTGAATACATTTACTTTTAAAATAGAGTGAAATACAGTAAAATACACTGAATAGAAATGAAAAAATCGTGAATACAACCAATGAAATATACCGAATACAACAATAATAACATGTATTAGGAATAAGAAAAATACGGTTAATATAAATACATTTGAATACACTGAATATAAAATAGAGAATACAGTAAATACAAACATTGAATCTAATGAATGCAATAATAAAAAAATAATTAAACGCACTAAATATAAAAGTTATATACAACTGAAAAATTATTCTAATTAATTGGGTTGATAATGAGGCATGTTAGAATTGATTTTGTTGAGTTATATTGAGAGTGTATCACGCTAATTGATATTATTTCTGTTATTAGATAGCCGGATATACCTAATTTTTAAGGTGAGTGTCGTTACAGTATTCATGAATACATGGCACGAATACATGTGAATGCATGTGCGGACAACCGGACTGCCCTGATTTTAGACGCTTTTTGTTGTTGTATTCATGAATATAGCAACGCGAATACATGCGCGTACAACTAGACTGCCCTGATTTTATGCGCTTTTTACTGTTGTATTCATGAATACATGGCACGAATACAAGTGAATACATGCGCGTACAACTGGACTGCCCTGATTTTTAGGCGCTTTTTGCTACTGTATTCATAAATAAAGCAACGCGAATACATCGAATACACTACCGTAAGTCCGTAATAACTGAATAGTAGCTATAGGAAATAATTATGTATATAGTAGCTATAAGAAGTTAATAGCTACTAAGCAATAGTGGTTTCTGAAAATTCTTTTTAACAAGAAAATTTTATCTCCTATAGCAAATGTATACACCCTATTGACTCTTTTATGCACGAGTAATGTCTTGATGTAACTCTATTATATTAATATGAGTTTAATTAAGTTTTATCCACTGATATATATTATAAAAAACTTCATATAGTCAGGTGTTTAATTATTTCTATAATATTAACATTTTCTTCTTTTACCCAACTTGTGTTGATCTCCTTTTTTTACATTGAAGAGCAATGTCTTGATGTAACTCTATAATATTAATATGAGCTTAATTAAGTTTTATCCACTGATATTATAAAAAACTTTATATAGTCAGGCATTTAAAAAATAATTACAAGTAATATTTTTACTTGAAAAATTGAAGGCTGCAATCTACTATGTACAATATGTATGCATTGTAGTGTAGCAATTTTTATATACTGTGAGTGAACATAAGTTAAATTGATTTTATATCTACCATAGAATTTTGCTTTTGACGTTAGGATGTGACTAGATTTGCCTAAAAAAGAATCTCATGTAGTGTCATATACTATAATTTTTTCCACCGTATTTGATGGTCCTTATTTTAACAATTATGTAGTGCCCATCTAGAATAAAATCGGGCAGAAAATCGCTTTCAATCAGGTGACTGGTAAGGGTTAGCACTTTAAAGTATCACTCATAAATTTTTTATATGATTTCAATCGAATTATATTATACAAAGACGTGCACTTTTTTTGCGAGCATATGGTCCGAACAGAAGGAAAACTAGACAATTTATATGGGGCCAAAGTTATTAAAAATATTTAGAAAAGGTTGCAAAGGAAAAAGCAAAAATTCCTGACCAAAGGAGGATTGGAAATTAAAATTGTTTTCATATAGTTAATGGGTTTTTCGGAAAGACTGAACCAGACATAATTAAATTTGAACTCGTGATATACTATGATTTGAACGATGACTTATGTGTTATTCTGTCTATTTCAGTTTATGTGGGAGTGCTTTTGGCACAAATTTAATAAAGAATAACGACATTTAAAATTTGAAATCTTATTCATGACTTCATGTCATGCAACTTTTGTGGATGTAAAGTTAAAATATATTCTTTTTGAAATAGGTTAACAAAAAAATAATATGGCATAAAATGGAATGGAGGAGATAATAATCGCGACTTCTGTTGGCTGAATATATAACATCTCCATCTAACTTTCAGTGGGCAGAAGATCCCAGTTTTTCTTTCTCCATATTCCTCTCCAACTACTAGGAATAATATATTTTTCTTATCTTTTCCCAAAGAAATTAGATTGATACTTTTGAAGTTTGATTTCCATGGCAACCACGTCTACCTTGTGACAACATGAGCTAGCTCTATTTAACAAGAGGAGATGATGAGGATATATATATCCAGAATCCATAGGAAATAATTAAAATGGATTCTATGAAGTTATGGGGAGAGGCTTTAGCTGCAGCAACAGGATTTATGTTACTAATCGGACTGCTCTGTTGCTGCCTTAGCTGCAAGATGAGTTGTCATGGTAACAAAACCAAAGGTAGCAGTGGCTTCAGTACTTGTGATGGTGGCTTTGGAGGTGTGTGAGCAATGAATATTTCATTATTATTATTAGTCTAATTCCATTTAAGTGAAGTATATTTATATTGTTTGGGTTTGTTTAGTCCAAAATAAAAAAGAATATATTTGGAAGAGGATTTGTCCTTTGAATAGGGAAAACGGGGAAGAAGGAAGAGCGGGGAATAATGTTTAGTGAGTTTTGAAGTTGCACCATTTTAGGTACAAGATACATGCTACTGAATTGCAGTTGGATTTTCTTATCTATATTGATTTAAGGCCAGGCTACGTTTTTGCTTGTATCCAACCCTACCCCCCACCTCCCCACCATTTTTTTCAATCTATATATGAATGTATCAATTCATACTTTTTTTTGCTTTGGTTATCTTTTTTGGGATTGTGGTTATTGCCTCTATTTACATGGATTCTCAGTATTTTCATCTAAACTGTTGTGTGGTTATATTAATAGAAAATAATAGAATTAAAGCATAAGGTACAAATTCGTTCACTTGTTAATTAATATAAATTCATTAAATAAAACTTTACATTATGGAAGACTTAACCTAATGTTTAAACTTATAGGAGAAATATGCGCAAAGTTAAACTTCAAGGGGAGGAATGTGCAATTTATTCAAAAGAAGATTAAAAGCGAAGAGACGTATAATAAAGCAAGGCCACGTTGGACTGTCTCCCAAGAGCCAGACTGCACCACTATCAAAATGAGTACAAAGCTTCGCCATTACTGTCCGTTCTTGTCGAGAGTACTAATTTACATTAATCTAGCTACCATATACTATAAATTATGAAATAAAACCATCCTATTTTCTTTAATTGTATTTTTTTAGCTCAACGGTTCAATTTGGTACATTGTTTGGATGATACAATCTTTAATCATCTATTCATCAAATCAGACATAGATGTAAAGATCTATGCACAGCAATCTGGTAGATGGGGTTGTTGAATTTGTAGAAAATACAGGGATCTAGGGTTCTAGAAAGGACCCTTTTGGTCCTGTGGAGCTTAAAGGTCTGAAAATTGATAAGTATTTGGTTGGAAATAAGAATAGTAGAAGTAATAGAAGGATGAAGGAACTGGTGGGAAGTCCAGGAAGTGTAAGTGGGTTGCTATTGAGGTTTGGGCAATGTTTATTTGCAGGTGGGTCAATTGGGGTCATGGTTTCTGCTTCTGGTTTCTCTAATTACACTGCTTTCTGGTATGCCTTTCTTTATTAGCTTTTTGTCTATTCTCTAGCTATCTTTATTTCATGTTGTTGTTGTTACTACTTGTGGCATATGCTTCTTTTCATCTATTCTCTAGTCGACTGTCAGAAACAGCCCCTCCCGGGATAGGGGCTCAATGGCTCTTTATTCTATGTCTGTGTTGCATTATCACATAATTCTATGTTTAACCAAAAAATATGTTTTTTGATGGTTCTTCAAAAGATTTCCTTATGCACTTGGATATGATATCTATGACAACTGAAGGAATTATAGAAGAAAGGATAGGGGCAAAGCGGAATCGGGTTAATAACTACTTCCTCCATCCCATTTTATGTGATGCACTTCGGACTGAGCACGGAGTTTAAGAAATAAAGTACCGTTGAAATTTGATTGATAAGTTTAAAGTTAAATTTCTTCTAAATATAGAAAGTTTAATTTCTTTTTAGAACAGACTAGAAAGGGAAGCGCATCACATTTGGGACAGAGGGAGTAGTTGCTTGTTCACCGTTTGCATTTGAACATCCATTTTGCTGCTAAGCTAGTTAACCTGTGGAACTAATAAGTACAGTAGTCCACTTTTCATGAAGTAGTTTTGAGTGTCCCAGTCATTTCAGAGAAGAAACTGAAATAACAGAAATAATTTAATGAACATTCAAGTATATAAAAATTGTAGCGCATAATATGCGTACTAGCTTCTAACTCAGGAACTTATGTGCATGCGTTCTACAACAACAACAACATACCCAGTATTACCCCACGCCGTAGGGTCTGGGGAGGGTAGTGTGTACGCAGACCTTACCCCTACCTTGTGAGGATAGAGAGGCTGTTTCCAATAGACCCTCGGCTCAAGAAAGCACAAGCACCACATTAATGAAAATATAGACAAGAAGGGACAATACCAAAAAGCCATATAAAAGCAGAATAAAAACAACAAGATAGTAGGTGATCAACAATGAAAGAAAATAACGGTTAGTCATAAAAACATACTACCAACAGAAATCGAGACTGCGTGCCAATACTACTGTTATGAACACTCTAGACTACCTACTCTACTACCCTAATCCTCGACCTCCATACCATCCTATCAAGGGTCATGTCCTTGGTCAGCTTAAGTTGCGCCATGTCTTGCCTAATCACCTCTCCTTTCCTCTTCTTTGGCCTACCTCTATCTCTCCGTATGCCCTCCAATGTCAACCTTTCACACCTCCTCACCGGGGCGTGTGTGCTCCTCTTCCTCACATGACCAAACCACCTAAGACGCGCTTCCCGCATCTTGTCCTTAATAGGGGCCACACCTACCTTGTGGCGAATAACCTAATTTCTGATCCGATCTAAACTGGTGTGCCCGCACATCCATCTCAACATCCTCATCTTTGCTACCTTCATCTTCTGGACATGAGCGATCTTGACTGGCCAACACTCAACCCCATACATTGTTGGTCTGACCAACACTCTGTAGAACTAACCCTTAAATTTCGGTGGCACCTTCTTGTCGCACAAAACACCGGAGTCTCCATTTCATCCATCCCGCCCCAATACGATGTGTGATATCTTCATTAATCTCCCCATCCCTTGAATAATAGACCCAAGGTACTTAAAACTTCCTCTCCTAAGGATGACCTGCGAGTCCAGCCTCACCTCCCCTTCCCCTCCTTGAGTCTCGCCACTGAACTTACACTCCAAGTATTCTGTCTTGGTCCTGCTCAACTTGAAACCTTTAAATTCCAGGGTCTGCCTCCATACCTCTAATTGCGCGTTCACACCGTCTCGCGTCTCGTCAATCAATACAATATCATCTGCAAATAACATGTACCACGACACCTCCCCTTGGATGTGGTGCGTCACTATGTCCATCACCAGAGCAAACAAAAAAAGGGCCGAGTGCCGACCCCTGGTGCAACCCCATCATAATCGGAAAATAGTCCGAGTCCCCACCCACCGTCCTCGCTCGGGTCTTTACTCCATCATACATGTCCTTAATCAACCTAACGTAGGCAACTGGTACATTTCTAGCCTCCAAACATCTCCACAAAACCTTTCTCGGAACTTTATCGTACGTTTTTTCCAAGTCGATGAACACTATATGCAAGTCTTTCTTTCTCTCCCTATCCCGGAATAAACCCAAACTGATTCTATGAAATAGACACACTCCTGATCACCCTTAGCTCTACTACTCTCTCCCAAACTTTTATAGTATGGCTAAACGGCTTGATACCCCAATAGTTATCGCAATTTTGGATATCACCCTTGTTCTTGTATACAGGAACCATCGTGCTCCACCTCCACTATTCGGGCATCTTCTTCGTTCTAAAAATGACATTAAATAACCTAGTGAGCCACTCCAAGCCTGTCTTGCCCGCACTCTTCCAAAACTCCACCGGGATTTCATCCATCCCGGTCGCTTTGCCCCTGCTCATCTTACGCATAGCCCCCTCAACTTCATCAACTCTAATCCGCCTACAATATCCAAAGTCACAAGGACTCCCGGAGAGTTCCAAATCACCAAGTACAATGCTCCTGTCTCCTTCCTCGTTCAAGAGACTATGGAAATAGGTCTGCCATCTCCGACAGATAAGCCCCTTATCCAACAAAACTGTACCTTCTTCGTCCTTGATGCACTTCACTTGGTCCAAGTCACACGCCCTCCTTTCTGGCGCTTTGGCTAACCTGAACAACCTTTTATCCCCACCTCGGCCCTCGAGTTCCTCATACAAACGACTAAAAGCTGCAGTCTTGGCCGCCGTAACTGCTAGCTTTGCCTCTTTCTTAGCCAACTTATAATGCTCCCTATTCGCCCTTTACTCCTCCTCGTCTACACTTTCCACTAGCTTCAGATACGCTGCTTTCTTGGTTTCCACTTTTCCTTGCACCTCTCCATTCCACCACCAGTCTCCCTTGTGACCACCAGAGTAACCCTTTGACACCCCTAATACCTCTCTCGCGACTTCCCTATATATCTTTTTTCATCTGAGTAGACCTATTTAATTTCATTTTTTCCTGATAAGACACAACCTATCTAATCTAAAACTGCTAGAAGAGATGGCTGGCTGTGTTAACTTTTCCATCTTCTAGACAGTGAAGTTAAACATGTGAAAGCATGCGCCCTCCAATGCGAAAGGGATCTTGTACGAAAGCGAAAAGGGGAGGGTAAAAATGTGGATATCCTTGCATTTGAATAATTCTCGATGAGGGACCTTCATGTATTGACCCAGGCTTGGACCCTAATTCTCGACTTTACATTTCTCAGACCTAGGCATAATTTTTCTGATAACCGAGATATCCCAGAGGACGCGCTGGCACATGGTTTGAAACTTTGTGGATAGCAGGCTCGTCCATTATGTCAGATCAATCTGAAATTTTGAATTGTTTTTCCATATTAATTCTCATGTACTTGTACAATAATGCTCTTTTAAATCTTTCTTTGCGTCAATGTATGCCAATGTTTTCAGTCTCTCCATCACCCTATTGAAAAACATAGATCACTGCCTCCATTCAGTATACATATCTTTTTTTGTTCATGGTTATTCCTTTTTCTTAGAATACTTGGCATATCTTGCAGCTATTTGATTGCATCAATGGGACTTCAAGTATTGTGGAGTTTTGGGCTTGCATGTCTAGACATCTATGCTTTGAGGATAAAAAGAGACCTTCAAAATCCCGTCTTGGTGAGCCTCTTTGTTGTTGGAGACTGGGTATGTATCTTTTGTTTGCTTTTGTCTTTCATGCTTATGTGATGTGTTTGAATAAAGCTGTACACGCCTTCTTTTTTCTATTCAATCCTCCTCATTCTTGTTTTCTAGTTCATGTTTTGTCCCTAAAAGAGTGTATATTGTCTTGATCTTCACAATTTGAACCAAGTAATAGATGATGTGATTCCCCTCACTGGAAGCGATGACAGCTTTTTGACCTTCTTTGCTACTTGTCCTTGTTTATTTGCAAACATGTAAATTTTTAAGTACTGTTTCTTTCGTTAAGAGCAGCTGATATTTTAGTCCATGTCATTGACCCAAATCAAGTTTAGAATGTTCCCTATACTGTAAACCATTCTTTCCTGCATTTGAGTGCTGAACAAGTTTTATTCTTTGATAGTCGCCATGATCATCACCAGACATTCCCCTTCACTGCGACAAACATCCTTCTATCACTAGTACCTTGTATGAATCCTGACATGCTCTATGCAGGCCACTGATATTCCATTGATCATGTGCCTTTTTTCCTTTCGGAAACTCCTCTTATACATGAAATAACCAGGGTAGGCTCGTCGCCTTTGTGCGGCTCACACCTTCAATAATAGATTCTCCCTTTTCGCCTTCTCTGACCATAATCTTGTCCTCTCAACATCATTTTAGAACTTCTTTTTCTTCTTTTTTTCTCTCCATAATGCATATATCTTGTCCTAGAAATCTTAATCTTTTATATGCATTATAACTCTGCTGTATCCCCTTTACATTAAAACTTAATCTCTGACCATGAATTTTAACTATATTCATGTTCACTGGCTTGACTTCAATTGCAGGTTACTGCAACCCTATCACTTGCAGCTGCGTGCTCGTCAGCAGGGATTGCTGTTTTGTATTCAAAAGATTTAAACTTCTGTAGTAGTCCACCTCATCTTCCATGTGGTAGATTTGAGCTCTCTGTGGTGTTAGCGTTCATAACCTGGTTTCTTATCGCCATTTCTTCCCACGTGATGTTTTGGATTCTAGCTGCCGTTTAATGATGTGAGAACGTTTCTCTCTGCTCAGAAGATTGCTTCTGAAATGACTTTCAAGGACCCGTCACATCTATATCTAATTTCCACTAAGTTGTAGCCTTATCTTCCTTGGCAATCGATATGCAGAAGAGATGAGTTTCTTCTGCACTGATTGAGTTTCTTGGGGTTAGGTGGTTCCCAGTTGTGCTCTTCAAGTTCAATTTTGATCTGAGTGTAAATTTTAACCTCCTAATTGTACTCTAATCTACTCCAGTTCAATTACATTTAGATCTAGTATGAGTCCTGAGCTTTTTTACTAGTACTTGACCCTGGACATTTTGAAATCAAATGTTCACTCTCTAGCTGCTGCTGCATTACTATGGGATGCCATTAAAGTTTTACAAAGGCATATTACTAACTTGCTTCAGTTTTTATCCCCTGATATTCATCTAGTTGATATGGCTTTATGAAGTAATCAGAAAATGGCAACTCCTTTTTCACTGAATTTTCAACCCTCTCAGTTTAATTTCTTCTCTGTACAGTGAAGTTGCATGCTGGCAGTAGCAGTAAAGACTTAAAGAGTAAATCTTCTAAACATAAAGTAGCAGCAAAGAAGTTTATCAGCTGCAACTGTTGCATTTTCATTTTGCAGATCTAAGTTTCTATTATAAAACAAGGCACAAGCCTTCACTTGTAGACAAGGGCAGTTAACATTTGAAATCTTGCAGCAATTTTCTCAGGAATAGAAGTTCACATTTGATCAGGCAAAAGAAATGATATATCTCATAAACTGAATTGATTCTCCAGATTTGATTAGAACTGCAGGCTGGTGAAAAGCCTTTGCTCAGTGCAATTCTGAAAGCTGACCAGAGCTCTTTATTAGTTCAAATATATGTAACCTGCAAATTTCTTATAGCTGAAATGACACATCACACAAATAAGTGGAGATCAAGAACATCCTCTTGAACTGAGATCAGTTTATATTGGTTTAGTTTCCAGAAAGTACCACATGAAACGGTAAAAAATTATTCAGATGGTAATCTCTGGCTTGAGAATGCTGGATTTTCAGATCCACACCTATGTAGCTGTAGATTTTATCCATAGCATGGTGTTTCTTCTCTGCAAAGATAAGGAACGACTCCTTATTAATTTGTAGGCTCAATTCAATCCGATCTAAAACAGGTTAGCATTGATCTCTTCTAACCGACAAACACTTTATGTGTTTTTATGAGGACGAAGCCGAGCTATGAGTTCGACTGAACCCAACAGCTTTTGCTTAACAATGTATTTTGTGTTAAGAAATTCATTAAATATGTTACAAATATTAAATGTAGAACTCAGTCATTAATACTTGAATTTATCGTTCTAAAATCATCCACAACCCATAAAACTGAAATCTAAGCTTCTATCTATGCATATAAGCCTTTTTTCTTATTGTAGACGAGAAGCACCCATAAACTAGAAAGTCTATCCAATTTAAAAGATCATTTAATGTAATTAAAATAACTGAATTTTGAGTTGTTCATGGTTAGTGACAGTCCAAGAAGAGATCTCTCTTATTTTTCTTCAATATTGAAGCATACTCTTTTAGCAGCTGTTAGGCAAGATCGTGGAAGCAAATATACCAAATTAGCAATTTAGGAGATGGAAGAATCCAACAAATCGATGTATATTCTACTTTGGATGAAAATGTTATCTACTATAAGACGAGTTCAGTTTCAATGAAAATGTTATAGTCCAAGAACTGTGGAATAAGGTTATTGTCAAAGTGTCAAATCTTTTATCTTTATCGTGAGTTTAAAGAACTCTACTCATTTTACACTTCTCAAAAATTTCTCATTTTCTTTTTTAGATCTTAATTTCTCCTTATGGGTGTGTTTGATTATAGTAGAAAACACAAACAATATAACACCGAGGCCCATTAGCTCAGTTGGTTAGAGCGTCGTGCTAATAACGCGAAGGTCGCAGGTTCGAAACCTGCATGGGCCAGTACGATATTTTATTTTAAGTTTCAGCCAGCTGTATAAAATACTGCTTTTCTCTTCTTTAGTTTTTTATTTTTTGGTTCCAGTTCTTCCTTATTTTCTTATGTATTTATTTAACTTTAAAAATAAAAAATAAAGAGACATCTCAGTTCTGGAAATTAAAACAAGAGAAAACCACCAGCACTTTTAACTCAAGCTAGCTCTGCATATTTTTTTTTTTTTTGTTTTCACGATGTAATAGGAGGAATATAATTCATATAATTGATTCAACTTGTTTAGAATTGATGTGTAGTTCTAAATTCTCAAGAATCAGCAGCTTAAATCATGCAAAACTCAAATGAACAGAAATTTTGACAATTTTTATATCACACATACACCACATAACATAACCAATATATACACTTTGAAATTACACAGAGAAAAGCAAAAGTCTGAGTTACCTTTGGTTATCCTCAAACTTACACCAGACAATAAACCATCAAAGTAAGCATAAGTCTGAGGTCCCTTTAATTTGGTTATCCTCAAACTTACACCAAACTAAAAAGCACAGAATTGTCACACATGAAAATCTATCGTCTTGTTACAATCATTTAAGTCCTATTGGTTTTCCTTCATCAATATTACCTTATTTTTCTTCTTCAACGTAACATAAAGATTGATCATAATCACTTAACTGCACGAGCAGAAATCCGATGGCACCTAGCCGGCGATTGTACTCCACTGGAGACCATTCTTTTAGTGACAGTGGTTGCAGAAGGTGACGATGATGAAGTTGTCGAAAACCTAGTATCTGCATGTCCAAAAAGCTGTATATCTGACGTTTCAAAACGGCCTGAATCACCTGGAAGTCTCATGTAAGAAGCTGAAGGCGACTCATTTATCCATGTTGTCCTACCTCCATTTTTGTACTCTACTATTGCTTTGTATACTAATGGGATCAACCCCTCCATTTTTTCCCCCCTTGTTCTATAGGTTTTTTCTTTTTTATTTGCTTTTTTGCAAGTTTAGAAGAAAGTTTTGAAGTAATTAATTTGGAGAACTTTGGAGTGGTGAGGAGGAGAATTTATATAGTAAGGTAGTTTATTGGATAGGAGTGTCCAGCTGTAAATGCTAAGCAAAGGTGACAATGAGGCACGAATTAATGGAAGTAATTAAAGGAAAAAATAAAGAAGCTTCAAAGCAATGACATTGAGAAACTCCATCACATGAAAGCTCCATTTAAACTACACATTACTTTTACATATCATCAAATCTCAACTTATTATTTCTCTTAATCTTACTTAGCACATCTTTATAAATAAAATAAATCTATTGGCCTGACCAGTACCTGATTCTTCATTTTGTTATTCTTAAATTAGTGTCCATGGTTTTTACATGATACTATATTATATATGTGGTAGTTTGGTTTCCCGCTTAAAAAAATATATATTATGTGATTCTCACCGTTCAATTTTATCCGGCACTATTTCCTTATTAATTCGTTCCTAAAGGAATGACACATAATTTTATATTTTGGAAACATTCTATCTTTCAATTTCGTATTTTATCCTTAATGTCATGCTAATTCACTTCATATTTAAAGTCACAAGTTACCCAAAAAAAAAAAAAAAAAAAAAAAAAAAAAAAAAAAAAAAAAAAAAATCTTTCTTGAACTGCGCACCCGATCCAATTACATACATAAATTTAAACGGATGGAGGAAATCGGAAGGATTAGAATTTAGATAGTTTATATCAGATAAGCAGAATATATACGCCACATGATTATGACAGTATATATATAATAATAGTAAAATAATAATGGAACTTCCATCAAATTTTAATGTTTAGTTCATATGTAGTTTTTCATTAGTTGGTGTCTAACATATCTTTTAGGATATGGTGAGTCTATTTGAAGCTTTCAAACGTGATGTACTTGCTGCCATTTTCGATTGCAATTAACAGCTGAACCACACCTTTCCCACCAAGATATTATTTTTTCTTCTCTCTCTCTCTCTCTTTTTTTTCTTTTTCTTTTTTCTCTTCTTATTCCCATCTATGGTTTTTAAGAGTGGCTGCCTATAACATCAGAAGCACCAAAAGTGAAACAATAAAGAAAAAAATAATTGTCTGGCTTGAAGAGGAAAATTTCAAGACAAAGAGCTGTCACTTAATTTATACAAATAGCATGTCAGATTCACTGTTTACTTTCTCTAGACGGTATATATTGATTATACATAGTTACACACATATTATACATATATTATATATCTGACTACTATTTTTAATTTAAAAGATTAAGGTGACGGCTATTTGAGTTATTTCTTTTATTAATTTTTGCAAATGGTTACATAGGGACACATTGAATCTTCTGACTTACCTTTAGGAATTGTTTAGTGTCATAGCATCTTTAAGGAATTATTTAAGTCTTGACAAAAATACTCGAGATCATAGTTAGTTAATATAAAAATGTTGTTAATTTCGTCCATTGTGCTAGGCACATTTGGGAGCATTGAACAGATGGCTTGCCAAGTTCAGCTTGGCAATATAATAATGGCTCTTCTAGCTAGAGCAAAATGGAGCAGTTGCTTAATTACATTGACGTCAAACCAACTTCTTAATTAACCTAATCACTGGTATAGATAAGTCTATAGAACATTAAAGAATTGAAGGGAAAGAGATAAATCTAGTTATCCTAATCACTTATAATTAATCACATCCTTGATTCAAGTATTCCTCACATCTAGTCTCCTTTACTAACTTTAAACTACTATTATCAGTGGAAGAATATTTTTCAAGTTGCATATAGCAAGTGAAAGAATGTAAAAGAAAATTTTTTTTTATCTATCCTATGATGTGCAACTTTATCAGTTACGTATCCACGGGGAATTAATGTTAGTTTTCAAGAAGCAGATGAGAAGTCCCTATAGTTTAACCAATAATAAGGGGGTTAGTATATATAATTTGATCAACTATTCTTTTTTCTTCAACTTTTACTGTTTGAACGTTACCTGCCACCAAATTTTGTCTGATTTCGTCAATAATATTTTGTAAATAGAAAAAAAAATTCCTAAGAATTTATTTTATCAGCATTTGTATACAATCAAACTTTCCAAAAATTTACTTTCTAGGTCACAACTTTTATAATAAGTTTATTGCTAGCTAGTAGATTGAAGTAGAATGCTAGCAACGGGTAAAAATTGAGTTGTAACAAAATAAAAGCACATTCTTCTTTACTATTTCTAGAAGAATTATCCTAAATATCCGTCCACCAATCGCATACATAAATATATGTGTGTGCATAACTGTACTTATGTTTTTATATAATTTATGTATACTGGGTAGATAAAATATTAAATAGTAAATTCAGCCGGCTATTAATTATGTGCGAAATAAATATTTACATATGATTTCCG